GGGGGGCGTTCAATTGACTAGTGCATTAATGAGATTGACCGTATGTTTATTTTTGTTTATTTTTTTAAAGTTTTTTTTAGTAAACATTTTGGAGTTTTTCATTGAAATTTCTTTTGGAAATTTCCTAGAATTAATGAACTCTTTTCAACTTGCAGAATTCAACTTTTCTTCAGCTAAAGTGTCAAGATGGCATTTGAAGTACGAGGAGAACCACAAACTGTACAACACATAGATGGAGAAGACACTATGCTTCACGACCCTCTTCTTGTCACCGTGTTGGATTTTAATAGAAGAGCCCTTGATCAGCTCGCGCATGCTTTGCACTTGACCGTAAAGCGCACTTATAATCATGCTCCAGGAATTGACAAAGGCAACTTCTTTAAAGGAAGAGATGGCAGGGGTGTTAATCCATCGCAGGATTCTTCTGGGAGAGATGTTTATCACCTGCTGAATAACATGAAATCCCATGTTGATCTGTATGCTGACCATTTGGAAATGGAGGAAGACACGGTGCTGGAGCAAACCGTTGAATTTCTTCTTGAAACCATAAGAAATGGTATGGCTCACCAGACTTACCTTGGTTGTACTGGGGACCCCGAGTCCAACAACTCTTGTGCATGCGAGTTAAAGAAGAACGATACAACAGAAAAGTGCTTGAGGAAATGCAACGAATTGCTGACATGGATTATACACGCAAAATTTTACAAAGTGATTAGAAGTAAAGTAAGTAGTCATCTTTGATGCTAGTATAATTTTATCAAGCCGTCAATCAACCAATAGACCAATCCCACATTCTCTTGGATGAACACGAAACAATGGCTTCGTTTCGAGAATGGAGTTTTCGACAGAAGATAAATCTAGCCTCGAAATGAACCGAGAACACCACTAGTGCCACTTCAAATATTGTTTAACAGTGGCCTAAGAACTGATGTTCAAGGTCATCAGCGCTTTATCGCAACCCAACACTAGCAAAGGTCTCAGTTTTAATGTCGCATCATAGACCTTTGCTAGGTTTTAAATCAGTTTGAATCAATGTGCAGACATGCAGTATAGCATAGACTAGCCGTTCTTACGTGTGGGATCAAAATTCTTTCAATTGTGGCAAATGCACATGCTCAGTAGAAGTTGAATATGCATTATCACTGTTTTCGCATTTTTTAGCTTTTTTTCTAAAATGATAACGATTTCTGGATGATAAAGTTCTAGAAGTAGTATAAAGAACTCAAGAGTGTGTTTTATCGGGACTAAAGATCATCGCCTTCGGCTCGGATCTTTATCACCCGATAAAACACACTCTTTCGTTCTTTATACACTACTTACAAACTTGTAATCAGAAAACTTTTAATACTATAGGCTATTTATCACAAGTATTTCTATCTTGATTACAAAACACAATTAAGCAATCAAAATATATTTTCAGTTTATTCAAATAGATTTATCACTGTTGCTGATGGTTTGAATATGATTATCCAACAGATTCGAAAGATTCTTGACAACATCAACAATATGAATGGTGTCTTTGAAGACTTTAAAAACGTAAAGAAGTCGCTAAAAGAAAACCCACATTATGCAACAGATACTGAAAGAGCTTTGAAAAAACTGGACAAGGTCAGAGAAGCGTTGGAGGAAGAAGAGAACTGCGATGATTCTATTGATGAAAGGCCACTTACACATTTCGTCAACATGGTAATGCTTCCAAGACTAAAGGAAATTCGAGATTAATACCTAAACCACAGTGCGCATGTCTTACAGCCTTTTGCACAAATTATGAGACATTTTTATATATATAAATATACCTAACCAAACATCAAAAACACCCAAGAAATTATGGGATACCGTCGCTGATATTTTGTCTGTAACAACCTGATGCTAGGCAATCATGACAAAATATAATAGAGATATACCATAATTTCTGGGGTGTTTTTGATATTTGGTTAGGTATATTTATATATATAAAAATGTCTCATAATTTGTGCAAAAGGCTGTACACGATATATATATATATATATATATATCTCATTTTGTATAGAATTTTTCACATGACCTACAATCCTAGACAAAACTGAATCGGACAGAACGCTATTACTGCGCTCTAGCAGATGCGCTCTCTTATGGGCTGTTTTAATGCTTACTCAAAGCCTCCCACTCCCCCCACAGTCAATGTTGGTTAACAATGTTGTTGGCGGAAATGTTTCGGTATGGAAGGATGGTTTGTTTCCAGCCCAACATTGGAAATGGGGGTCCACGGGGGGAAATTGTCAGTAAGTTTTAGCAGACATACACTTTGTCCAATGAATTTCGTCCATGATTGCAGCTCTAGCTTAGATATAGAATAATGAGCATGACAGCATGACAAATTATCACAGTCACCATATTGTAACTCTGCTATTCCACTATGTGCTTGACACTGAAACATTTTTTTTATTTGAATAAACTTTAACACTACACTTCTTAGTTCTTCAATCTACCACAATTAGTTTTCCTGTCGATTATTTTTCTTTTTGCGCCAGTATTTCTTTTTATATCGACCTCTGCCTTGACCTCTTCCACCCTTAGCGCCTCGTTTTGACGATGAACGAGTTTTATTGCCTAAGAAAGAAAATTGGTTGGCAAAGTCCACTGCGCTGCTTTCTCCTTCACCAATCAGCTTAAATGTCTTTATAGGAGAGTTACCAATTTCATCTGAATCCATTTCAACCGTGTTTGATGTACTTGGCTTTGCTGTTTGTCTATTTGAAGTTCTGATATAAAAAAAAACAGATAAGTCTGATGTCAATACAGTTGACTCTCTTTGAACGACCACTCTCGTAAGCGACCATATACCGTAATCGACCACATTTTAAATTTCCCGTTATAATTATTTCCCATATAAACCTTGTAAAAAACATCTCTCGTAAACGACCACTTTTTCCTGATCCCTAGGTGGTCGCTTAAGAGAGAGTTGACTGCATAATCAAAATTTTCCAAAAAGCAACTAAAATTTTATTTCAACCTAAGACATAAAGAATGATGAAATACTATAATCATATGCCTTAAAAAACAGTGTAAAAATATAGCAAATTCTAATGAAATTGTGTAGGTTTATAAATCTTTTTAAAGTGCCTATTTCTACAGAGAAATGCGTATCTGAGGGTATACTTGGCCACCATGACCTCAGCCATGCATTTCTCTGTAAAATAGATATGAATGAATTATATCTCTACAGCTTTTCACTGAGGTTGTAGTTCTTGTACCGTGTCTCAACAGAAAACCCTGTGCATTGGTCCCAGGTCCTACTAACTAATAGTCCGTTTTTAGAGAGCCTAACTATACTATTACATACCTTCTAGAAGTGTTTGCTGCATGGTTTTCATCACCTTAAAAATAAAAGTTAAATTGAGCCATGGCATTGAGATGAAGAACGCCAGAAGTAAGCTTATGAACACTAGCAGTACAGCAAGCATTTCTCTGCTTTTTGAGGGCTCTACATCCTTTGAGTGTGTGAGAGGCATACCATGTTCCAATACTCTGATACGAATACTGTCATGAAAGTATGTAATATACAGCAATATGAAGAAATTATGGTTGTTTTGACACATATTCCAAGTATATACCGGTATACAACATATGGGATATCATCGCTGATATATTTTTATATATACAATATATCAGAAATTATGGGATATCATCACTGATTTTTTTTAAGTTGCCTAGCACTTGTACTATACAAAAAATATTCAGATGATATCCCATAATTTTATATATTTTATATTATATTATATACTTGGAATACGAGTCAAAATGATCATAATTTCTGTATAATGCAGTTGTACCATAATATGTACCATATTATACATATCTCCTCGGGTTCACTCCCCTTACAAATAACTTACCACATGACATAGTGGGTGTAGCTGCTGACCCCTCTTTTCTTCTAATGCACGTTTCAGTGTGGTCTGGGTAGATCTCTTTGGGCACGTGTTGATTACAAACATAACATAATATACATCCACCATTCTCTTCACTATCATCGGAGCTTATCGTAGCTCTTTTACGTCGCCGCTTAGTGGCTTTAGGCTTGTTATCTTTCTGGGAGCGTTTGTGATCTGAGGAGTTACTTGATGACATCCCAGCAAGCTCCATCAGGGCTCTTTCATTTTCATCCTCCTCATGATCAAATTGATCTTTTCTTTTCTTTTTGGTCTTTTTAAAATTCAAGTCTTGCTTTTGGGGACGTAGGACATCATTGATGTTCCTCATTGCTGGAGGTTTTTTAGCTCCGTACATGGAATAAATCTCCTTTTCCGAATCAGAGTCTGAGTCAATGTCTACACAGTCATTGGGTGTGGTCTGTGCCACATTTGCCGAAGGGGTGGTTTGACGCTCCTTGTGTTTTCTTGTGGTGCTATCAGACTCATTGTCACTTGATGCTGGTTGTTCTTGGAGAGGAATATAATCCAGAGTTGAAAATGGATTCTTGGGTGCTGTTAGAATATAGTAAGTGTTAGACAAGTAGCATACAGCAGAGGTAAGTCAAGGATTTTCTTCAGAGATGCAGGCCAACAAGTGCACACCACAAAAACATACAACATGGAGACACAAAGGAGAAGAAAGTACTTGTCAAGAGAATTTTAAATTTAGTTTTTAGAGTTTTTTTTAATGTTTTGGGGATGGGAAAATGTTTGCATACCCCTTGCACCCAACCAATGGCTTGGATCTACCCATTAATCAAAAATTCTCATACTAAATACATCAAATTTGAATTCCTTATTTTCTATTAACTGCATTGATCTATTTTATTATTAAGTACTATTCATCTAATAGATTTAGTTCAGTGATACCCACTTCACTGGCAGATCCAGCACTAGTTCACCAATTTGCATCATAAAACAAATCCATGAAAATTAATCATTTTGTTTTGTGATGCAAGTTAGTGAACTAGTGCTGGATCCGCCACTGCACTTTAACAATGAAATTGCATATTCATACCTCCATTTTTTTTCTTTCCACCATATGTGACCTTGAACTTTGCTTTTTTTCTTGTTTCCTGGCTGAGATGTAATATGGCAAAAAGAAGCAATCTCTGAGTTACCATAGCAACAATCTCCTTCACTGTTCCCTGCACCATCTGAAAAGGTACCTTTGCCTTTTAAAGGCTGGTTAGTTTGAAAGATACAGTTGAACACTTCTTCCACATGTGTAGACACAAACAATGATTCAAACTTTAAGGTAGATATGTTGCACCGCTCAACTTCTTGTGATTGACAAGCATTGCAACCTTTCAAGGTGGTACAGGGAAGTGTGAACAAGATAATTGGACAGTTAAACATATTTTGGCATGTTTTACATAAATTCTTATCATCATCTGCAAGTCTTAAATATAGAGTTACATGTAAATCCCTTCTTGTTGCTGGGAGGTTTTTTGATGATTGTGGCTTTAATAATGAAATGGGAAAATGAATGAATAATAGAACGAATGAAATATGAAATGGAAAGAAATTAAACCCGTTAAGTTGTTATAGGCTTTATTTTTCATTGATAAAAGCAAACTTTTCTCTGACAAAAACAATGCTATTTTTTTTTTTTTTGTAAAAATCTAATCTTTAAGAAAGATATCTGTTATAATGTTCCCTCAAAACTACCACAAACTGGCATGCCATAACTTCTTGAGAATAAAAATTATATTTTCTTTATCAAACTAATTTCTATAAAATGTACAACTTTTAATGTTGTACTCAAATTGTACAAATCTAAAACAAAATTAAGAAAGAAGCATAAAATTGTACAAAAATTCAAAACCTTTCCATTGGCCACCCATCAAAGTTTGACCTTGAAGCACTCTTTGACTCATCTTCATTGAGGTGTCCATCATTACTGTTCGTTGCTCTTGGTGTATCATCATCATCATCATCTGATGTCATGTCAACAACGTCAGTAACTACTTTATTTGTATCCATTCTCCCTTTCTTTGTCAAAGAAAGATTTTTCTTTGCTTTGATACTGGAACAGCTTCCTTCGTTTAGTCTACGCTGAGCTTCTGGAGATCTTGTTACCACTACTCTGAGATCTTTCAAGCCATATTGTTGAGACTTTTCTGGACTTGGGCTGGGGATTTGGAATAAAAAAAAATATGGTTTTTATGTCACTCTGAAATCTTCTGACACAAAACACAAAACATTTAGGATTTGCTGTATACAAAGTTTGTTTAGATGCAGCAAAGATTACACTATTCATACCTGTCATGCCCTTGTTCCTCAGCCACCCCCCTCCTGAATTGCTCATCAGTTTGATTAGATTCTGGGGGAATGCCATTACACATTGAAGCATGTGCTTCTATGTCTACGAAAGGGAAGTCTGAATAACACATGGGGCACTGAACCAGGTTTTTCTCCATAAAGGAATCTTTCTTGGATATGTTGGTGCCACTACCAGATGGTCTGATTCAAATAATACGTATTAACAAACAGTGTTAACAATGAAAGATGTTTGAAGGGAGGAAGACAAAAACATACATACATTTCTTCGTTTTGCTGTTTCATTCTCTTTTCTGCAGCCTCAGCTGCCTTCTTCGCTGCTGGTGGAACTTGTCTCTGTATAACAGGTGGCTGTATTTCAGTTCTGCTTGCCTTCAAGAAGCCAGACTTTGAAGCTGAGCCGGTTAAAGACTCTCCTGGTTTTGAACTACTTGTTCCTAGTAACAAAAAACTGAAGGTAATCTTGATTATGATTTCATGTGTCCCAGGGAAGCTATAAAAGAGATTATTGTACATACAAGCAGCTTGAAAAATTAAATAACACAGCACAAACCTGTCGGAGTTATAACATCATCCACATCAATCATTTCAACATCAATTCTTGTGGTTCTTCCACTAGTCCTTCCATCTTCTTCGATGTCTTCAATAACAGCAGATTTACGTGAGGATCTTTTGACCTTTAACTTTCCAATCTCTGCACTGCTATCTGAGTCATCAGTATCTGAATCATTTTGTTCGTTTATAGATTTGTTTGGAGTCTTTTCATCGCACGTACTTGAGGAAACTTTATTAGTAGACGAATCATTGTTTTCTTCTTTATATTGTGTATTTGATTGTTTTGCAATATTTTCTTTGTTTATTTTTATGCCTTCTTTTGATGTTTCAGTAGTGGTTGTTATATTATCAGTGAAGTATATGTTGTCAGGAGTGGAACTATTGGAACTTTGAAACGATTGTTTTTCATCTTCATTGTCAAGTTTTGAAGTAGTTTCTTTATCTACTTTCCTTTCTAAGTCATTAGGAATATTATTATCACATTTTTGTTTCAAACCAATACAAGCTTCAACATCTTTCTTCTCCTTATTATCTAGTATGTTTTTATCTTTTTCTTGGTCATCTTTCATGACACGTGTAGCAGAAGTATTCACATTTTCACCAAATTTAAAAGAATCTGTTCTGGAGTTGTATTCTGTCCAGCTCTTAGCTGGTTTATTTTCTTTATGACCAAAAACTGACTTGGCCAGTTCTTCATCACTGTCATCACTTGAAACAAAACCCAAGTTCTTTGTCTTCAAGTGTGTTTCTGTTGAATTTTTCTCTGTTTTAGTAGAATTTGGCTCAATCTTTGTTGGCTCAGGAACTCTTGACTGTGTACTTCGAAAACTTCTTCTTGTTTTTAGCTCAGGTGGGACATGAGAAGATTCTAATAAAAATTATAGAAATGAAAGTTTTATAACATCAAACTGGGACTACAGCATGGACAGAAAGGTATACTTCCCAAAAACATATAATTATTATACTTATATTTAATTACTTACTATTTATATTTTAACTTATTATGTAATTACATCATCAGAGATTTATAATTTTAAAGATGTTGGTTGACTGGGCTAAGATTTTAGAAACAAAAAGAATTACAAGAAGTTCCTTAATACATCAAATATTTCGGAAAAAGTCCATAGTCCATCGTCACTCTATTGACTTAACTTAAGGAACTTCTTGTAATTCTTTTTGTTTTAGATTTATAGTCATTTCACCTTTTTTGCAAATATTTGATTTCCTTTTGTCCTTCTTGGCATCCAAGGAGTCACCTTCTCTTGGTCCCTCCACTATAGGTTCACCCCATTTTGCAAACAGCAAGCTCTTTTGCTGCGCTTTGCGTATGCATTCTTTTGAGTGATCAAGCATTCTCATGATAGCAAAAGTGTATAGTTTTTGGTTAATGCCTGGCGGGGAAAAAAACAGTCGTGCCTTCATTGCATCTTTTATAGTCTTGATGGGCTGCCTGTGCTTTCTGTATTTTCTTTTGAGATTAACTCTGGAAGCCTAGTAAAAAATAATTAGTAAATACATGAGCTGTACAAGGTACTATTGACAATGTTACTGAAATTCTAAAAATTGGGTAATTTTTATTAGACAGTCAGTGGTAGAATATCAAAGTTGATTTATATATCGTTATATTTTGTGCTTTTTTTAAGTAAATAATTACAACAATTTTCTTCTGGTCTACAAAAATCACTACAATATTTCAGACATATTTTACTAGTAGCAACTTTGCTAACCTTTCTGTTCTTTCGAGTTGAAGGGTTTCTGAAAAATGGAAAAACTCACATTAGAGTTAGATGTACTTAATAATCAAGAGAAACTTTTAAGTTTAAAATAGACCAAAACATGTTTTCTATAGCTTAATCAACATTTAGTAGTAATAAGTACACTATTTGTTTCATGGATTAATTGAGCCAGCCCTATTTGAAAGAAAAATATTGATTTACTAGGATGAATGAAAAATAGAAAAATGGATGATTGGCCATGCATGAATGGAAATATGCCTGAAAAATGTAAGAATTTAATATAAGAATTGTAAAATTATAATCATGTTAAATGATGCACTTGATAAATGGGTAAATATGTGGAGAGATGAATGGATGAAAAGACACCTRAAAGAATGCATAAATAAAATGGCGAAAAAAGAAATTTGGGCAAAAGAAATGGACAAAAATGGACAAAAGAAATAGAGGAAAGAAGAATACATGGATCAATAACAGTCTGAGAAATCCATATGCAATTTCACCTGTTTTCATCTTGAATATCTTCATCTTCATCATCATTTATCACAAAAAGGTTTGTTTCCTGCTTTTTTGTTTCTTCGTTATTCGGCTTTTTTGGTGGCAACACAGCAAAATTATCTTCAATGGTTTTTTGTCGCTTCCTTGAATCAACTGTTGGTGGTTCTTTGATGCTTTCCTTTGCTCCATCATAGCCATCATCATCACTGTCATCCTCTATTGAATGCTTTCTTTTTTTGTAGTCCACACTTTTACTTATTCTACCTTTTTCCTTACTGGTTGCAGTATTAGAGGATGTCTTACTCTTTGCAGGTTGTTCGTTGTGTGGTGGCCTTTCCTTACATGTATCGGTCTTGACTGAAAGGTTTCTCTTTAGTGATGGTCTTATAAAAACAAAGAATAAAGTTTGTTGTAAATGTATTTATCCAGGAATAAAATAGTATCCTGTCTAATTAAAACTAAATTAATGTGTTATTTTATTGTTCTGTCATATATAATTTGATATGTCATTTTTTTTTTACCTTTGTACTGGACTTAATTGAATATTGATTTCCTTCTGAAACTGATAACTCTTGAAGTCGCTCTTTGAACTACTTGGTTCACTTGAGGTAGTACCAAACTTCTGAAACATAAATTAAATGGAAAAACTGCTAAATCGCCTCCAAAACAAAACACACACACAAAGAAACAAATGTCTATCTTATAAACGTGTCTAGACCAACCTTGTCTTGCTCTGTATTGGATTGTGGCATTGGCCCAAACAAATCAGGCGACTCTGCTCTTTCTGTGCCCAGTGGTTCTATACTTGAGCTAATAGGTGAACTAGGAATATCAGCTGTAAACGGGTGTTATAAGTTAAAACAGGTTTGGCATTTTTAGCAATCCTCTTTCATCATAAATAATGTCTTTTCTAGACTGTTTCAGGGTCGCTCCCTCAAAACATAAAGTTTTCAAAGCTTTTATTGTCCCAAACAAACAAAAAATCCAGTTAATAAATAGTGCAATTGAGGAAAATTGAATTGACTGTACATTTACTTGCCTGTTGAAGTTGTTGTCATATCGGATTCCATGTTAAATTTCTGATGGAGTAAGACCATACATGTATTTACCACAGTTTTCAAATTATGCAACTACAGCACTGTAAAACATGATATAACACTTACAGAATTTACAAATGTCTGGTAAATCTCCCTTCTTTTCTTATCGTTTTCCAATTCAAGACGACTTTGACGCAAAGCTTCCTAAAATACACCCAAGAGAAGAACACAGATTGTAAACCTTCTTCTAATACTAAACTACCACAGCACTACAAAGTGCTTGACTGAAAGTTCAATATCCATTAACTTCTGACCTTCATTTGCTTTTTCTCTTCTTCATCCATATCTTCCATGCCTGATAGAAGAAAGTCAGCTTATAAGCACTTTATCAACATAGGTATAGGCTCTTAATTTTTCAAATACATATTGTAGAAACAGCTGACTGCCATTTGAATTGCTATATGTCATGTGTGTGACTGCTACAGAAAATAATCAAATTCAATGAAATATAGCATCAAAGGGAACCTGGTAAGGGAAAATTAGTGAATAAATTACTAGAAAATGATAACTTTGAAGACAAGTAACACAGGCTCATGTTCACAGGAAAGTGAGTGACTGACTGACTTAGTGAGTGACAGATTTGTCCCCCTCCAATAAATCTTCAATTGCTTCACAATCTTCAAGTTAGAAACCACAATAAATGTGCAAAAGGTACACTTTACTGTCAAAATAGGCTTGGGCCTGGACCCATTTAAAATAGGGACACAAGCGATCTAATATGTGTGCTTCAACAAAGTGCTTGAAGTCTTTTGGTTATTCACTGTCTGTAGTTGACTTCAACATTGTTATACTTGGATGATTTACCTCCAAACTCAACTGTATCATTTTCTTCATCTTCCTCCTCTTCAACGACAGCAATCTTTTTCTTTTTTCTTCTCAATGGCCTCAATACAGTCTCATCAGATAATGTATACTAAAAGAATGAATAATAAAACATTTCAGATACCTTCAACTCCAACACTAGGTAGTGTACTTTGTCTACATTACATGCATACTTCATGATAGAGCGGATTTTGTATGAGTGGGACACGCTGTTACCGCACGGTTACTGCACAGTTACCAGACCTGGCCTTCACAATTTTGGTGAACCAATGGGGCACTAGAATTTGGTTACAGTACGATTACGGTCACAGTACAGTACCGTCCGTTTCCCACTCAATACGAAATCCGCTCTAATGAGGTGAAGAGATTATGGAAATGCATAGATTTGTACTAGGGAGGGATGATACAGTTGGAAGCTTTGGATCTCTTTACAATGCCATGGTCTCATTGCTTTGGCAGCCCTTCATTTTGTCCCTAAGTCATTTGCAGAGATCTCACCATTCTTTTCTATCACTCAGTGAAGTTATAAGCTTATTTATTTCATTTTGTCAAACTTTGAATTGCAGCATTTAAGTCTACACCTCTGTGTAATTTGTAAACAGCATTTAAAGATATGATATTTCAGTGAAAAAGAGATCAGGATGTCGTGCTTACAACAAGCAAGTTCAATACAAAAATAAAAGCGTTTTTAGTCTTACCTCGTCTGTAACCTGCACAACGTCTTCGTCGTCTTCAACTATTTCCACATCTTTCGATTTTCTCTGAACAAAGTTTGATATCGACTGATTTCCATCTTTGTTGTTGCTCTTGTTTTTACGGAGATTCATCCGACGATTGGTGCTCATATTGTCGACTTCAAACTGTATAAATTTGCTTTGACTAGGGTGTCTTTGCCTACTTTATGTTGGCACAGAAGGATATTCAGTCGCCATTGATGCAAAACGAGTGTTATGGTTGCTATTAACTTCAGATTTCTTTGTGATCAAATGTTGAGCACGCTGGAATCATTATGTAAGTGCATCGTGTCAACATTTTTGTGATAAACCCGTTAAATTAAGCACCAAGCTAACTGTTATACCTTGCACGATGTCACCAGACAGAAAGTTGCCCGCCAAAGCACAACGTGACGTATGTAAACGAGGAACGCCTGGCAGTATTTGCAGACACTGTGATTTGGTTGGGATGTTCGCTCTTCAAAAATCGCTTAAAATATGAGATTTCTTTGGCTTAACAGGCTATCAGAGCGAACAAAAAGGATTTATATATGGTGTAAATATTATAATAACCTATTAATGTGAGTATTTGAGTCAAATATGCCCTCTAAATTAGTTTTTTTTTATTGTCGTATTGTTGTTGAAGTGTATTTTACAGTATTTCGTACATTTACTTTTATAATATTTTTTAGATATAATACAAAAAAGTCTATTGACTTTTACTGGTACGGCAAGAGAAGACACACAGCAAGCATTCCTTTTATGGTATAACATTATTATTTTGCAAAATAGGAGTTAAAAAGAAATAATCCTTGGGAAAGAACTGAGTCTGAAATAGTAGATTCACACCAGCATACACAGTTAGATAGTATTAAAAATCCTTTTTCAATGATCTACCAACATGGCTGCTGGTATTCTCTGAGAGCCTTCCAATCTCGTACCCAGAGCCCTAGTAAATTTTAGTAGGTGACAAAGAAACTGTCAGTTTTCGTTCAGTTTGCGCAGTAAAAGGGACAGGGGCGCTCGCTGGGTACGAGACTGAGACCCATAATTCCATTCCTGTATCACTTGAAAAGCATTTGTAAGAGTAGAAAATAATTCACATATGCCTTTCAGATAACTGCTAAAATGAAGAAGTCACTGCAAAGACTTGGGTACCAAGAAAATGATATAAACTCAATGACTCCATTAGAGGCAAATAATTTGATAAAATGTGGCAAAAAGAAATCTCTCAAAGAAAAATTGAATATGTCTACTTCTGAAGCAGACACACGTATGGACCAAAGTCAGCCAAAAAGTTGATTTGTATTTGATTTGTATTTTTAAAATAACAATGGAATGTCAGGAATGTTGTGTGTATATAGCAAACGTTTCAAAGTTTTTTAGAAAAATGTTAGTAGAAGCAAATGGAAAACGTAACTGGTAAAACTCAATAAAAATATTTTGTACATAATCATTTCCACTTTTGTAATAATTCAGATCGATTTATTCATCCATTCAACTCTCACTCAAATTTTAAATTTATTCATTCAAAATTTCAAAAGGAAGTGACTTTACTTTCATTCCCTTGACACTTATTTTCTTCTTCGTTCCTTTTTTTTATTTAATTTTGAAAAATTATATTGATGACAAATTTTTTCTTTCATTTTTTTTCCATATTATTTCATTGATGCGGGCTTCCTGTGTTTGTATCCCACAATCCCATTCACTCTAAAGCTGAGCCAGCGATCGTTTTGTTCGGTTGCCGTGACGTCATGATCAACATAACAGAACGACATCGGTAGTTTAGAAGGAAAAGGTTTTTCGTTAATCTGAAGATGTTGTAGCTTCTATTTAACTGATTATCGTTTTAACACCAAAAACAATAATGTCAGACTCTGAGGAAGATTCTGCCTCGGACCATCAGCTCAAATTTGTCTTAATAGGCGATGGGGCAGCTGGAAAAGTAAGTAACATGTGATACATGCTTACATTTCTTTCTCTAGCTCTCGCTGTATTATCATCAGAAAGGATTTAAACTTCTGTTTCTTTACCAATACAATCTATTCCTCAGTTTTCTATCTTTTGTTTTTATTTCAGACCTCAATTTGTATTCGATACACACAGGAAAACTTTGAAAAAGCATATAAACAAACATTGGGACTTGATTTTTTCCAAAAAAAGATTGTCATGCCAGGTTTGTTCCGGATTTTACCTCTTTTTATCTATTGTGCTCTAGTTAATCTCTAAACGTGAAACGTTATTCTATTCTAGGAAATCATAATGTGACGATACAAGTGTGGGATATCGGCGGGCAAACCCTTGGAGGTCAAATGATTGATAAATACATATTCGGAGCTCATGTGAGTAACTTAATTTGTACATTTATTTTCAACTCTTTCTCTGCATTTTAAGTTATAGATAACCCAACCCCAGATGTTTTTACGCCACTTGTTAAAATTTATGTTGATCTTGTCACCCACCCGATGTGTTGGTTTCTTAATTATTTGACTTTTTTGTCATTTCATTTCCTAAGTTGTATGTACAGTATTTGTCAGTATAAATTAATTGAACGATACTGTAAGATCATTTTCTTTTTTTGCATTTTAAAACACTGCATACAGTCTTCTTTATTTTCACTATATTTCATAACAACCTTCTTGGTGGAACTTTAACAATGAAAGGATTTCTCATTATGTAGTTTCTATTGTTCACTCATCCATTCATGTCTGCTGGTAGAGTTTATCTTTTGAATCTCATTGGAATTTTTGAAAACGATCAATATTATTATCTATTTTCTTTCTATGTCACACTCACTTTTATGCATGAATACCTCAAGCTGTGTTTAGACGTCGGTCTTTTGGCACCTTAAATCTAAATGATCGCATGCAGAGAAGTATTTAATAATCATTTCACATTTATAGATTACATTGAGCTAGGCAGACGGGAAAAAAAATGTGACAATGCCAATGAATTCAGAGTGCAAATTGCTTATTAACTAAACATTAGCAATTAAATTTGATGTGACCAAAGATAGATGGTGAACCAGGACCCCATATTTTACACTAATCAGTCAAGGCCACTCTGTACAAAATTTCCAAAAAACTGATTTTAGTATTTTGTTGACTATAATGACCAATGCACCAGGGACAGCAGAGAATGAGGGGCTAGGGAGATGACATGAGACTGGATTACATTACCTTTGCTGTCAGACCACTAGTGTTGGAAGGGAGAAAATGAAAAATTTCATGTTAAATGTTATTTTAAAAAAAGAATATTCATTGTTCAATTCCAGGCAGTTTTATTAGTTTACGATGTAACAAACCAAAGCAGTTTTGATAACTTAGAAGACTGGTATGAAACAGTGAAGACAGTATCTGAGAAGAATGGAACCAAGCTTCCACACATGGCATTAATAGCAAATAAAAGTGAGTAATGTTCTTGCCCTTGCTTTTTTTCATGTGTTAATGTTTCTCAAGTGCTCTTCATTCTAATCTCTCAGAGCATGTTGAGGAGACACAACCACTAGCTACATGTACAGTGTACAAAGCGTATCTGCTTTTTAGGAGATATTTTAACTTATTTTTATAGTGCAGAATGCTAGAAAATCATCAAGCAAAACTGCAAGTGTACTGTTCTTTTATGGCATATTTTCTTGTCTGTACAATGTAACAGAGCATTAAGGCCAGCAAATCATTAGTAATTCAAAAAAGAAAAATCAGATCTTCCGTGTTTAATTGTCTTGACTCTTGTTTTCCAAGTGGATTTAGAGCATATGAGAGTGGTAAAAGCTGACAAGCATAGTAGATTTGCCCAAGAGCATGGATTAACAAGGTAAAAATGCTGCCACTTTACAAGTACATCCCTTATTACTCTGCCTTTCAAATTGTTCATAATTTATCTTAGTTAGCTTAAGATGAAAGTAATTTTGAAAATGTTGCCTTTTGCAGCCACTTTATCTCAGCAAAAACAGCAGATCAGGTATGTTTATAAATTGAGAAATACTGTAATTATTTTTCATTCTGTATCAAAGATTTTGTTTGTAGTAATTAAATGGATATTGTGCATTATTATATTAATTGCTAATAAATTGTGTTCTTTCTATCCAGATAAACCTATGTTTTCAAAAGGTAGTAGCAGAAGTCTTAGGAATAAGACTAACTAAAAATGAAATGGAACAGCAGTCGGTATCCTTTAAATATAATTTTTATTCTTTTTAGTAATAAGTATTAGCTGCAGTTGATGGGGTAGGGACAGCATTATTTGCAGGCACGTGGTTCCAGGGGTTTTCTTGGCAGACAAAGTCTTTAAAACATGAGACTATTTTTGCCAAATCACTAAGTCATGTACTTTAGGTAATCACATTTTTCGCATAGTCCAAACGTTTGTTGTGAAGTGTGAATCCAAAAAAATACTAGTGTAATTTGTAGCTGTATACCTTTGCATTGAAAAAGATCATTGAGCATACAATGAGAGGCTTTCTTAAATTTGCAACTAGACAATGAATGGACTGGACTTGTGTCTATCATTGTTTGCTCAGGGACCGGTGGTCTCACTTCAATGCAAAAGCATGGCCACCTTTGGAGATGGCACAGGAAACCAGGAAGAGTACTATATTATAAAGTATTTCTGAGGTTTTCCTTAATAGAAGTAACAGAAAGTCCTCAAAGCTGAAGTCATTCAATACAGTAACCATGAAATGCCATCAAGAGCTGCACCTGTTCCTGCAAAGAGTTCCTTTTGTTCCATACAATAGTCACAATAGCCAATTATAATATATAATTATCTGTTTGAGATTGTTAAGGTCATTGCAACGTCTCCATAACATTGCAGTAAAGAAAAATTAGGACAGATTACCCCCGATAGTATACGCTGTACAGGGTACATGGTCCCCAACTCTCATAAAAGTTGATGCTTTCATAAATATGCTGATACAGGTGTCATGGTTGGTTGAAGTTAGCAATGTTTGGTTTCTAGCCAGGTTATTGTTGATTATGAGATGCTAGATAGGTCTACATGTGATATTTATTGGCCATTTTTACGTTGCGCAGGGGACTGGGCACTAATCAAAGAAATATTGATCTATTCACGAAACAAACCCCACCAGTTGAAAGGACACCCAAAAATTAGTATATATACCAAGTTTCAAAACGTTTGGATAAAAACTAGCTGAACAGTATTTATTTCTAGTTTCATCAAATTAACAGAGAATGTATTGTTTTGGGGGACGCGGTCAAAATCGCCATACATTCTCTGTAAATTGCACGGCTTCTCATTAATTGAATATTTGTCCAAATGATCTGTAACTTGGAACCTACACTAAAGTCGATAAAGTCTTTTTAGCGATATGGTTAGTTTTTCGATTGGCTCAATATGACAGAAATTACAATTCATTTTATAACATAAAAATGGCTAATAACAATGATTATTATAAAAGACATCAAAACGGAGTGTTTTTAATTATTATGCATGTTTTTTATGCCATTACCTCTACGACAAATACTGTGTCAAGAATGCTTGTTATTTTGTAATATCACATCATGCAATTACTCAATTTTACAGTTCAAACAATGTTTTGTCCTAGGATGAAAAAGATCTATAACCAAAGATTCAAGGTCTGCTAACTTGCTTAATTATAAATTGAAACTCTCAAAAAATGGTTCTTGAACTGTAAAATGGAGTATTAGAGTACAAACACTAAAAGTGTGCAACATAAATTCCACTAAATAATGCTAATTCTATTGATTTCTATTGTTAATTAGTATGACTATTTTGTAGTCGATAGTTGATAGCGTTGCACACTTTAAGTGTTCGTACTCTACTATTTTTCTTGTTTTAATCGATATAAAATATATAAAATTGTCCTTGACTTTATCTTTAATAATACATGTAGCATTAATTGTATTTATATGATGTAAAAACCTAATGTAAATATAAGAAACTGAACATGTACAAGCCAACTGGTATCTGTCGTGTATGTATGGTGAAAGCAAACATCAAATGCAGCTACATATGCACACAGTCCCTCAATTTTGATTCAAGTGAGTGCATTTACATTTTTTTTGTATAGAAAAGCAGCATGCCCAATGCCTACACCATGAGTCAAAACAGTCAGACTATATTGCTTGTAACTATGCTTAAGTTTTATTCTTACTTTTTTTAGCTAAAATACAACTTACATGGAAAGTTCTACATGATTTTTCGAAATGCTAATATAATTTTAATAGGATTCCCAAATGTTTAATCCCTAGAGTTCACACGAGATCGTTTAGATGGAAGACAAACTTCTCTTGTTCCTTCACTACTAGGAGAATAACAACGTTTCTTTTTGATTTGCCTTTTTGACTTATCCCTTGTTTGTGTTCTATCCTTTGACCGTTTCTCTTCTTGGCGCCTTAATCTGGAGCGCCTTGCAGTTGACTTATCTTCACTTCTTGACCTGCTTTGGTCCTTTCTTGGTCGTCCACGTTTGTTTTCTCCTGAAACATGATCACCTTTGACTATGTCTTTACCCCTTGTTCTTCCAGACTTATCACTGCTAACCATTTCATCTTCATTTTTATGTTTATAACCTTTCTCTATCTTTTTATTCCCTTTGATGGTCTGTTTTTCTTCTTCTGTGTTGTGTTCATCATCACTTGATTCTGACGAGGAACTCACTTCACCGTCAAATGATGACAAGTCACTTGTGTGAACAGAACTGACATCTGAAATTGAGTCATCAATGTCAGATTCCTGTGGAGAAAGGTTTTTAATGTTTGAACTGTCATTGGAATCCTCACATGAAGCTTCAACTTCATCTTTAATATTCTTATCAGTCTCTTTATTTTCAATGGCATCAAACTCTGTTGGTTTTGCTTTGATTTCATGAGTAACACCAGTTTCTCTTTCATGCATTTTATCTGTGACAAAAATGTCTGCTGTTACATCATCTTTTGAGTCAACAGCATCTTCAACTTTGAGCATCAGACTTTCAGTGTCCATATTCACTTCTGTCTCTTGTGAACTCTTCTCAATATCTTCAGAAACTATAGTTTCCTTGGTAGCATCAGGGTTGTGAGGCGGAGCGTCACCCCCCTCAATCTTTTTAGGCACTTGAGCAACTTTAAGTCCTTCATGAGCTGATTTCTGGAGGCTTTCTGAATGCGATGAATTACTCTGATTAGAATGTGCAGACCTTGGAGGTGTCTCTGTTAACTTATCTAAAGGTGAAGAAGGATTTGGAGATGCTGTTTTTGGAGGCACCCTTTTTGAAGGGTTTATTCTTTTCGTAAGGTTAGTTTTCGATGGAGGGGTGCTCTTGGAAGTCTCACTTGGACTAGAAACATCACATTTCTTTTCAGACTTTGGCAGTTTTCCCATATCACCCTTGTTTTGCTGTGTGGAAGTGGTTGTTTCTGGTTTTATGCTTGTGGAACTCTCGGGTTTTGTTGAGGACTCTGCTTCACTGTGTTCAATTTGGCTGATAATGTCATTAACATCTGATATTGTTGATGTTTTCTCTGAACTGGGAGCTTTTTCTTGATCAGGTTTGCTTGGCTCCTGATGGTGTGAATTTCTGTTCTGATACCGTGACTTTCTCTCCTGTTTTTCTCGTTCTTGGTCAGTGTAAATGAAGCTTTGCACTATTCCTTCTAAGCGAGTTTGAAATGCTCTGCTCCTCTTCTCTATTACTTGCGTGATTAATCTTTGAGCACCACTTTTCAGAGTTTCAGATCTGAAGAGAAATAATAATAGCAAATATAGAGAATGAGTGTTTTTAAAAGACTCTTTGGTATTGCCAGCTGTCAACTTGTGCATGTATGACAACAAGAGATCCCTATAAGAAACTGATTGTATAGAGTGAAGTAATAAAATTGGTGAAATAGAAATTACACTGATACACCTTAGTATGCTCGAATTGCATTGTTTTCTTTTGTGTCTATTTGAGTATTACACTTCAAAAGTCACATTTTGCTTTATAGATGGGTTCACTCTATTTTTAATTATTGTTTTTCTTTCTTTTCTTTTTTGTTATTTTTTGTTGTTGTTGTTTTCGTTTTTCTTTCTCTTTATTGTTTTGATTTTTTTGTTTTTCTCTTTTTATTATATTATTTTCACATGAAAAGTAATTCCCATTCAGAGCAATCAATATTTGAATAAGTTAAGATTGAAATAGTGCCAGGAATTCTTTAGATAAAAACAGGAATTTGATAGAAAAACAAGTCTCTTTTCTGTTTTACTTACGCACAAACATGCTTTCGCAAGTTATCTCTAATCTGATTTTTTGATAGCGTATCAGACCACTCCTGCTTGGACAGAAATGTAGCAACATAACTCTCAACTCGCTGATTTAGCTGCCGAAACGACTCCTAAAATAAACAAACATTGCTTTAGATAAGTAGTGTTGGTACCAGAGTTATGAGACACGAAAAAAAAACTCCGAATTAATTACCATTTTATCTAGTTCTTCTAAGCAATCTCTTCTCAGTTCATCAAAGTTCCCTTGAGACTTCAAATGAGCAACGATCTTGCCTATTAGAGTTCTAGATTTCGAGTCAAGTCCTTGCATTAAATTTGAACTTCCACTACCACTGGAGGACGCCATCTTGGATTTTGAATTGGTACTCCACTGACCATAAAGAACTGCATTACAAATTTCCCCAGTCCCCATTGGAATGCCTTTCTCACTCGGTCTACCTCACGCGATGAATATTTACTCTGTATTTGGGCTTCCAAAATCAGAAATTAGGATAAAAAGCTACCTTTTGCTTGTACAAACATAGAGGAAAATCTTAAAACAGTTGATCTATTCTCAGATACGAGTATTTGTTGAAGAAAAAGGTGGCGTTGTACTTGAGGGAACTTATCGCGCTTCAGCATCCGAAGAGCATCCGAAGGCTTCAGCCAAACTTCGCCTGACAGTTGTTCAAGAGTTCTTCAGCATTTCGACTCAAGAATACTTATACTCAACCAAGAAAGATTTATGTTAATGTTCCTGTGTTATTACGTTAATATAATACGAGTTTTAGCGTAAAATGGAAGCGCCTTACGTCGGAACGGGATGCTATGGAATGCCACCACCAACTATTCCAACTCCGCCAGGACTGGAAGCGATTTACTCAACTTTGCGAAGACTCTATCCAGATCAACCTAATCCACTCCAAGTAACTGCACTAGTTAAATATTGGTAAGTTCCTTTAAAATGTTTGCTTCTCATAAAGATTTCCCGAAAAAAATAGGGGTTTTGGCATTTGTGTTTTGAACAGTGATTGACGTGTGATCTGGGGTCTCACTTTTGGAATCCGTTCAACAGATCTTAGGGTCAGAGTTCACAGAATCTTGGGAAAGGGATCAGAATATTATATTGGGATCTTCTGGGATCATGGATCTAAAGCCAGGAGAGAGGACTATGGGATCACATTGATCTACTAATATATTAATGATAATAATATATTCTGACAAGAAAAATAGGCTTTGCATCAATTTTGTAATGAATGGTCAATAAGCTAAATGTTAAATGGGGGGCAGAACATAATTTATTTCGTTTGCAAGGGGGAGTAATTTCCTTTTTTTTTGAATTTTTGACTCATTTCTCAACCCTCACCCCCCTTCCTCCCCCTTCCTTCCCTCCTGATAAATATTGTGCAGTCCCTAAGCAGATATAGAAGGCCAAAGACAGTAATCTAATACCTCCTGACCCTCACTGCATTTATTCTTTACCGTTAATTTCTTGAAAGTTTTACTTGTTCTTAAAATGTCTTTCTTATCAAGTGGCTGACTGGTTTTTGTAAACTTTGTGATTTCATAGGATTGGTGGACCTGACCCTCTTGATTTTATTAGTATGTTTGGTAACCCTGGCAACCCCATGGAAGGCATACCACCACATTGGCATTATGTATCGTCAGGGTTATCTGATCTCCATGGTGATGGAAGAGTACATAAGTAAGTTACCAGTGATTTTTTTCATTGTTTTTTTCTGGATATGATTTGCAGACTCGTGGGTCCAACTTGTGAATAAATATATACTAAGAATTGATCTGCATCACAAAAAATTGCATAAGGTTTCGTATAGAATTGTAACGTCTTGCTTTATTAAACATAGTAGATGCTCAAATTACAGCAACTAAGTTACTACTCACTCAGGTGCATTCAGGTTTGTGTGGGCCGTCTGCTCGGTGGCTCCGGGTATGAAGTTCGAAGAATACTCCAGTTTTGAATTCAAAGCGAATAACCGCTGTTTTACTTGACAGCAGATTCTATTACGCAAAGAACTTACCAAAGACAAAAGAAAGCACGAGAAAATGTTGTTAATACAATAGTGCTAAGAATCTACATTTTCCCCGAGTTGAGGCTAACCCTGTATTCCCAGAAGGCTCATACCTTAGGTCTCATGGGAATACAGGGATAATCTCAACTCGGGAAAAATGCAAATTTTCAAGTCTATTGTAATAACAACATTTTCTTGTGCTYTCTGTGTTTGTAAGGTCTTTGTGTAAGATAATCTGTTGTCAAATAAAGCAGCGGTTATTCGCTATGAATTCGAAACTGGAGTATTAGACTATAGATTTGAGACTATTTTCCTGTTACTCCACAGGCTCCTTTTGTACCTTCTTTTCAGTGTTCCAAATGGCCAAACCCCGAAATAGGCCTATTCAGGCCCCAGAGAGCCCTCGCCAGATTGCACACTTATATAGATAAGCAAAGCAAGCACATATTAATTTTGTAAAAGATATTCTTGTTTTTGTAATGTAGGTATACTGGTATGGATGGTCCAAGTGGATATGGTTTTGAATTAACCTTCCGGCTAAAGAAACAAGCWGGACAGACKGTGCCTCCTGCTTGGCCAGCAGAACTTYTGCAACAGCTTGCAAGATATGTTTTCCAGACAGGTAATAATTAGAGCRGATTTCGTATGAGTGGGACACCRTTACMGCACGGTTACYGCACAGTTACCGGACCTGGCCTTMAAAATTTTGGTGAACCAATKGGGCACTWSAATTTGGTTACAGTACGATTACGGTCACAGTACAGTACCGTCCGTTTCCCACTCATACRAAATCYGCTCTAGTACCTTTGAAAGGCTATGGTATTTCAGGAGCCTTGCTCTCACACAACAAAACAAAACATTGTCTGTTTTTCAGATAGCATTCTTTGTCCAATTGACCATATCTCATGGCATGC